TTCCAGGGCACACTTAGAAACCTTTAGATTGTTTATGCACATCTGGAGCTGGTCAGTTTTATCAGGGTTCATTGTTCTTCACCATGTTTTGAGATGTAGAAGTTGTTAACTTTATCATAGAGCTCATTACTTTCCTTTGTCAGTTTATTCAAAGATGCTAGGATTTTCCTTATTTCTCCACAGATGGTCAAGTTTTATATACAGACTCACCAAATCTTGTGCCTTTTACAATGGTTAATCAGGATAATCAAATGTATTTGTCCCCGTAAGTTTGTAAAATACTTCACACCACAGGCTTTCAGTACTCCCCGAGCTTTTAGGAGAGGCTTCAGTAACTGTAGGTGTCTGCATACTGGAATGTTACTTACCTAAAAAATTCATCCTTATACTTACGCCACTCTAGAACCACGTCTGTTACCAAAACCTGTATTAGATAGGTGTCTAGAGGAACAGAACTGATAGAATGAATCTCTCTCTCTCTCCTCTCTCTCTCTCTCTCTCTCTCTCACACACACACACACAGGATTTATTAGAGTGCCTTACAGGCTATGGTCCTGCTAGTCCATTGTTGGGAAGTCCAAGAACCCAGTAGTTGTTCAGTCCCCAGGCTGATTGTCTTAGATGGCCTTTAGTATATGCTGGAACCCTGAAGTAGGTTCTAATGCCAGTGAAGGAATGGGATTGTCAGTCAGAATGAGGGTAACCAGACAAAAAGTGAGGGCTTCCTTTCTCCGTGTCCTTTATGTAGACTTCCACTAGAAGGTGTGGCCCAGATTAAAGGTGGATCTTCACACTTTGTGTGATTTAATTAAAGAAAAATCCCTCCCTCACAGGTGTGCTCAGCTGCTTGGGTTTTAGTTAATTCCAGATGTAGTAATCAACCAAGAATAGCCGTCACAAACCCACTGAGTACAGTTTGTACTGAGTGTTCGAATGTTAACTGATTTTGTCGGCTTGGTCTTGTGCAGGTAGCCATAGAATAGACCAATTTTGGGCTACTGTCTTTCTCTGTTGCCTTCCAGGAGACTGAAATAGGGATTGGAGGCTCATGGAAATCATGAAGCTGTTTGTAAAGAGTCCTTTGCAATAGCTTCTAGCCTGTTGAGCTGTGAGCTGTACTCTCAACTGCTCTGTGGGGGATACACAGGTTTGTAAAGTAAGGGTGATGCCTATTCTTGGTTGTCAACTTGACTATTTTCAAAATGAACTATAATGCAGAGGTGGAGGATATACTTGTGACCCAGAACTTGAGGCGAGAAGACAAATGCCTTTAACCCAGACCTGGAGGCCAGGAGGTACACCTTTAACTGGGCCACGCCTTCTGCTGGAAGCCTGTATAAGAGCAATGGAAGGCCAAAGGGCTCTTGTCGGCCTTCCCTCTCCTTATCAACACATCCAGAAGACCAGCAATGACACCAGCCTCATGGGACAGAGTGGCTGCCAGATTCTCAGACTTTCCATTCGCAATTAGTAATGGCTGGATTGCAGAGAGAGACAGAGAGAGAGAGAGAGAAAGAGAGAGAGACAGAGACAGAGACAGAGAGAGACAGACAGAGAGCGACAGAGAGAGAGACAGAGACAGAGACAGAGCGACAGACAGAGAGAGAGAGACAGAGACAGAGAGAGAGCGAGAGTGACACAGAGAGAGAGAGAGAAAGAGAGAGAGAAAGAGAGATTCATTCCATAAGTTCTGTAACTCTAGAGAACTCTCACTAACACACTAAACATATGAGCCCAGCATCCTTTTTAAATTGTGACAAACAACACTTAGACATTTCTGTAACTTTTGGTCTAGTTTCTTGAACTCTTGCTGTAAACAATGTGACCTACATAAATGTGTCTCAACATCCCCAGGATAGGGTGACTTCATTTATCCAGGGCATTTCCTTTTGCTGGGGTGTTTTCCTCCCTAATTCTCAAGGGTTAGGAGATGGCGCAGCATAGTGGCTAGAACTCCTCACATCCTACTTTTAAAGCTTCAAGCCCCTGGAAAACATTTACAAATCCCCACAAACCCCAAAATAGAAGTGGCAAAAAGTTTCCAGTAGTTACAAGACCCATACCAATATCTGTGTGTGAAGAAGACAGAGGTAACAGAACAATGTCTGAGTATCTGAGGACAGGGGAATCCCCAAGCACACCGGGAGTAGCAGCTGAAATGGGGAGCGTTTCTCCACATACACAAGTGGTGGCTGCAAGGGTCCTTGTTTGGACTAAAAGGATAGAATGGTACAGCAGCTGCTCTATTAGTTTTTTTTAAAAAATTTTTACTTCTCTCTGTGTATATTTTAAGTTATTATGTGTCAGTATGCGTAACTGCACATGAGTGCAAGTGCCCATGAGAGGCAGAAAAAGGCACTGGATCCCCTGCTATTGGAGTTAAGAGAAGTGAGCTTCTTAACCACTGAGCAATCTCTCCTCTCTGCTCTATCAGCCTCAATGCCACTGCCTGTCAGCCTTGCCAACATCTCTGTGGTGCAGAAATCCCTCACAATGGTTGTAGCTTTGCTCCTTGGACAACAACCAGGATGGAATGAGTTATTCTATTTTATTTTTACTTAAACATTTTAAATTAATTTTTTACATGTATGAGCATTTGTCTTGCATATTTATCTGAGCACTGCTCATGTGCCTTCGGAGGCCAGAAGAGGCATCATATCCCTTGGAACTGGAGTTACAGTTGATGGCGAGCCACCACATGGGTTCTGGGGACCAAACCCTGGTCCTCTGCAAGAGCAACTAGGTCTCCTAACCACTGGCACCATCTCTCCAGCCCATATTTTAAATACTTTAAATCTATTTTTGGTTTTGTTTTTTGAGACAGGGTTTCTCTGTGTAGCTTTGGCTGTTCTGGAACTCACTCTGGCCTTAGACTCACAGAGATCAGCCGGCCTCTGCCTCCCAAGTGCTGGGATTAAAGACGTGTGCCACTACTGCCTGGCAAAAATATTTTTATCTTTATGTGTGTATGTGCATGTTTGTGTGTGAGAGTGGGTGAATGTGTGGAGACCAGAGAACAATGTGAGTCTCTGCCTTCTGCCTTTGTTGTGAGCTGCTGCATAGGCCAGACTATCTGGCCCCTGTCTTTTGGGAGATTCTCCTGTCTCCACCTCTCATATCACCACAGGAATGCTGACAGTTTGGACATCTGAATGTGGGTCAGGTCCTCAAGCTTGTGTGGAAAGTACTTCACCCACATCACCCACTGAGCCATCTAACCAGTCCTTTTGCTATTTTTAATTCCTGTTGTTATACTGACAATAGGGGACACCACATCCTGTAGCCCCCTCCTCAGTAGTCTTTCAGTTTTTCTTTTTCTTTCTTACTTTCTTTCTTTCTTTCTTTCTTTCTTTCTTTCTTCCTTCCTTCCTTCCTTTCTTTCTGCTTTTTTTGAGACAGAGTTTTTCTTTGTAGCCCTTGCTGTCCTGGAACTCCCTCTGTAGACCAGGCTGGTCTCGAACTCACAGAGATCCACCTGCCTCTGCCACCAGAGTGCTGGGATTAAAGGCATGGGCCACCAAGGCCAGCTCCCGATAGTCATTCTCTGCTCACAACAAACCTTAAGCTTCCCAACAATGTTAGCTTCCCTTTGCTAGTGTATTTCTCTTTCTTTCAGTCAAGGGAGAATCCTTGAGGTCCTCCAAGAGCACAGTCTATATACACCTGCTCTGTGTGCATACGTGCATGTGTGTACATGACATGGGCTGTTAAGGAATTCATCCAGCATACCCACTCATGGTTTAGCATCTGGGGTAGGAGCTCTCTGAGTTGGTTTGTCTATGTAATTTGTGTCGCTTCTTACGGGCGTGGTCTCCAAACACGCCTGCTTGAGTTCTAGCTCCCCTTTCTCCATACTTCCCTTTGGCTCATTCCACTCCATAGTTTCTTCTTGCTTTCATTTTTCTCTAAGGGTCGGTAGAAGGGCACTGAGATATATTTTTCTGTTCCTTCCAGGTGATGATGCTTCTGACCCAGCCAAGGAAGGGGGCAGTGATGGTTCGTGTCAGCTATCTGAGAGTGTTTGGACTGTGGAGGCCCCTGGAATTGAGTTTTCAGAAAGAAAACATCAACAGGCATTCTGTGTACGTTAACTAACTTTCCATAATTGTAAGAAATACCTGAGGCGATGAACATTTGAAGAGAAAGGACTCACTCAGCTAGCACATTGTGGCGAGAGTGTGCAGGGATGCAGGTAGACCAGCTAGGTCTTATAGGACCTGAGTCTGATGGGAGAGTGAGAATCCTGGGGGATGCTCTTCCCCAAGGTGTGAGTCCCATGATGCTTCTACTCTGTTGTAGAAACTAAGTAGGGTTCACTCCTGCTCTCAGACTACGTATGTCTTCTCAGAGCATCCCCTCTAAGTCTTGTCTGCCTTAGCTGCAGACTTAGATATTAAGAGACCAGGTTCACAGGAACATTTAGGAAATGTTCCACATGAAAGCATTAGTAGCATGCTCAGAAAGCCAATTTGCTGTCCTTGCTTTCAGAACTTTCCCTGCCCAACTGTGCCTTCTTTCTTTTATCCAAGATTCCCAAGCCCCACATTTTGTTTCTGTCAAACTGACATTGTTTTGTTCCCTTTAATGATGGCTTTGTATTACAAACTCTTTTCTGATGAGGTTTTATTCCTCTGAAAGCTTTGAACTGAAGTATACACATTTGGAGCATGGGCTTATTTCTAAAAACATTGGAGCATATGGCCCTAGGATCGCACAGGGCTCCTACATGGGAAGATGAGCCTGAACTCCTTTTTTTTTTTTTCTGGGTTGGAAATGTTTTTATTATTGAGGCGAGCTTACAGGTCTCTGTTGTATCTGGCACAAAGAAAGCAGCAGTTGTAGCCTCATAATTATTAGACAAATGATATTAGGGATAAGTATAAAATATTCCAAACTTAAGATTTTTTTTAGATAATACCATTATTTATTTATTTATTCAAATTAGAGACAAGCTTGTTTCACATTGACGTGTGGAGCCTGAACTCTTAACGGCAATCTCCTCAGAGGTGGGGGGACCAGCCAGCTACAGCAATGTTCTCACCAGTGATATAGCTGGCCTCCGGGGAGCAGAGGAAAGACACGAGTCCTGCACAGTCCTCAGGCTGACCCACTCTGTGTGGAGAGAGGAGATGAGGCTGAAACAGTGACACCCTCCACATCAGCCCCAAGTTCTTGTGTGAAACTGCAGAATCAAGACCCTGTGGGGATGAGCAAAGAACTGCAAGGGAAGACTTGTGGCTCTGCAAGGAACTACAGAGGCCGTCTCAAGCCTTTGGGGATCTTCAGATCCTAGAAAGGGGAATAGCTAATGACCTGCAGAGCACTGGGCTATGATGTTCCATCTTTCATGTAGGTTCTGAGGTCATGTTAACTCAGATCTACAAGGAAATCTGTCTCGCGATAACCTACCTCTGAATGCCATAGAAATACTTCAAATGTTCCTCAAAGGCCGAGTCTTCAGTGAGCTAAAGGCAAAGTCAAAAGTTAGAGTACTGTTCATGCAAGATGCAGCCACATGGGTGCTACCCGGTGCACGCTGAGTGTTCTCGAAAGGGCTTCTGTGGGATGACCCTGATTTTGATTCTAATGTGGATCCCAAAAGCTGTGGGCCAGAACATCTGAGCAGAAAAAGAGCCCAGAGATTTAAGCCTAAGAGGACAGGTCCCACCAGGAGAACACCGTCCACAGGATCAACTGAGCAGGGGTCAAATAGGTTTACAGAGACTGAAGCGACTATCACAGAGCCTGCATGGGTCTGCACTAGGCCCTATGCATACATGCTGTGGTTGTTTAGCTTGGTGCTCTTGTGGGACTCCTAACAATGGGAGTTTGGGTGTCTCTGACTCTTTCGCCTGCTTATGGGACCCTTTTCTTCCTTCTGGGCTGCCTTGTCCAGCCTTGATATGAGGGTCGGTGCCTGGTCTTGTGTCTTCTCCTTCTTCTTCTTCTTTTTTTCGAGACAGGCTTTCTCTATGTAGCTTTGGAGCCTATCCTGGCACTCGCTCTGGAGACCAGGCTGGTCTCGAACTCACAGAGATCCGCCTGCCTCTGCCTCCCGAGTGCTGGGATTAAAGGCATGCGCCACCAATGCCCGGCATCTTGTGTCTTCTTTTGCTGTGTTTGGTTGATATCCCTGGGAGGACTTCTTTTTTTTTTTTTTAATTTTTTTCTGAAGGAACAGAGGAGGAGTGGGAGAGGGGATGACTGGGAGGCATGGAGGGAACGGAAACTGTGGTTAGGATGTATTGTATGAGAGAATTAAAAAAAAAAGAAGAGTGCAGGCACATCTTTGGCAAGTGGCAGGCACCCAGTACTTAGTGGCTAGCTCTGCTTCCTGCCCTTGGTCCTCACCACTCGGCCGAAGTCTGTGTTGATGATTCCTGGTACTAGGCAGTTCACACGGATGTTCTTTGGTGCTAGCTCCACTGCCAGAGTCTTGGTTAGTCCCAGTAGGGCTGTTTTACTGACATTGTAGACCCCCAGTCTCTGAGAACACAAAGAGGACTAGATGGAGAGACTGGAATTGAGGACAAGGAAGAGACTCATGTTTCCTGCACTCTGCCCAGGGAATCTGTAATATATCCTTATCACCAAGTCTGGAAGACAGTGTCCAGAAGAGATGGCACATATCCTGCTAAGCGCTTTCATAGAAGATGAGATACCTCTTTGGCATAAGAGTAGTTCTGAGGAAGCCTGTTGTTAAATGTCACTTATTTCCACGCACCCAATTTTCTGGATGAAAGGGGGAGTTTCCTCTTACCTGACTGGAGCCACAGACAGTGATACTTACAGGAATTGGTACATAGGCTGTAACTGAGGACACCAGGACCACCGAACCTTGTCTGCAAAGAAAAAGAGGGACAGACATAAGCTGAACACAGTTATCCTGCGTGTGACTGAGAATGGGGCTGAGGGATGGAAGGCATGGGAGTGAGGGAGAACAGCTTAGGTCTGGTAGGAGGATTTATCTTCATTTTCCTTTAGGTCATCAATAATGTTTATCAGGCTCTGTCAACACAGAGGCCATCTGTGTTTGGACTTTGGTTTTGGAACAAAAAATTGACTGTGGGTTACTATTGCTATGCTAAATGGACTTAATAGTAAACCTACTCTTATTTTTGAGATAGAATCTCTCTATGTGTAGCTCTGACTGTTCTGGAACTTGCTTTATAGACCAGGCTGGCCTCAAACTCACAGAGATCTTCCTGCCTCTGCCTCTTGAGTGTTAGGATTAAAGGTGTGTACCACCACTGCCTGCCAAACTGACTCTTAATAACTTTTGTTTATAACAATGGCTTTCTCAGGTGGCTGGAGAGATGGTTCAGAGGTTAAGAGCACTGACTGCTCTTCCAGAGGCCCCGAGTTCGATTCCCAGCAACCACATGGTGGCTCACAACCATCTGAATGAGATCTGGTGCCCTCTTCTGGCATGCAGGCAGAACACTGTATACATAATAAATAAATAAGTGAATGAATAAATAAATAAATAAAACAATGGCTCTCTCAACCCTCATCAGAGAAGCTTCTGTTTGTGGTAGATGGGGATTGACACAGAAACCCACAAGGTTAAGTGTGTGAGAGATTTTTTAGATGCTCAGCTGACATGGGACAGCTATACCACACTTCTTCCTGCCAAGGCTCAGGGATCATTTCGGAAGAGTGTGTTGGAAGAGTTTAAGAAGCAGAGGTTTTGGATGACTACAATGGAACCATGTTTTTCAGACACGGCAGGACAGCTGTGCAAATGAATGCACAGCTGTTGTGACAACATGCACAAGATCTGCAAAGCTCAACTCAGACCTATTCTCAATACAGAGCAATGGACATGGAGACCGACCCTGGCCTGAGCAGCTGTTGGCTGTTGATGGCTGCTGGGAGAGGGAGAGGCAGTTTGCTTTCAGTGTAGCCCTTGGTAGGTCAACCATGCTCCAGTGGAAGACCAAACATCCAAGAGTCTATTAGAACACAGTCTGGGCTTGAGACATTAAAAAGAAAAGAGGCATGAAATTGGGTGGGGTGGGTTCCTCTGGGAGGAGTTAGGGGAAGGGTGAATACGATCAAAATGCATTGCATGAAATTCTCAAAGCCTAATAAAATAAGAAAAAAGACTAGCGACATCTCCTATGTGTTATTGAATTAATTTTGGTAGGTTATATAATTTAAAAAAATTGGGTTTCATTACAATTTCATCATGCTTTTATCACAAAGTTTTCTGATTGGGACTATCATTTGCTTAATGCCTTTAGCATCTCTAGTGGTGCTTTTGTCTCTATTCCTGATATTATTTGTTCTATCCTTTGTCAGTTTCACTAGCAATTTGTCAAAAGCACTAGTTTTTTAAAAAATAAATTTTTGGTTTTATTTATTTATGTACTGAATTACTCCCAGCCTCTTTTGTTCCTCCTCCAACTTCCTCCTGGTGTGTGTGTGTGTGTGTGTGTGTGTGTGGGTGTGTGTGTGTGGAGTGTATGTGTGCTCAGGTGTACCTGCACATGTGTATGGACATTAGATGACAAGCTTGGGTGTCATTTCTCAGGTGTTGTGCACTGTCTTTGAGGGGGATGCTTCAGTGGTCTGAGCTCTCTTACCTCCTGGGTTAGGCTGGATGGCAAGAACCTCCAGTGGTGAAGCACTTGGCTTTCTTCTATGGGCTCTGTGGAGCAAACTCAGGCACCTCCCTGGCCGCAGCTCAATGATTTTTACATTTTAATAGTGTTTACTGACACACGAAGAGCCAGTTAACTTCTCACATTTAATTCTGTGATTTCTAAAATCCCACCCCCAGTTCCTCTTTGTCTGTTATCACTTTCTTTTTGTTTTGTTTTGTTTTGTTTTGTTTTGTTTTGTTTTGTCCCTACCTCCCTATCTATTAGTTTAAAAGTGTGTTTTGTCCTCTATGGACATTGTTGGAACTGTTTGTATAGAAAATAAAATGGAGCTGTTTAACTAATTAACATGTAATATTCTTGCTCTGTCTAAACAACATACGACTCTCTTAACAGCGTAACTCAGCTTCTATCTCTCTGCTGTGAAAATTATTTTTGCTTTTCTGGAACCTCCAAAACATCTTTGTGTTGGGGAATAGATGGTTTGGTTTGTCCCTGTGGCTATTTTCTCTGACTCTCGCTCTAATTTTTGCCTCAGGTTTATTATACAGATTGGCTGTCTAATTCCTCTTGCAGGAAGCATGTGGCTTAGAATGCCTTTCAGTGACTGACTCCCGTTGGCCAGAGAATGCTGGAACTCTGCCCTGAGTTTTTGAGAGATGCATTTGTTAAGCACAGAATTTCAGGTTGAGAGTTCCTTTTTCTCCAGCATCCAGAAAGCTCCATTTAAATTGGGTCATGAAGAAGGATAATTAGGATTTTAGCAAGTAGATAAGAATGAACGGAAACAATTTCAATGGAGTTCAGTTCATGAAATCCTGCCTCCTTCAAAAAAATTAAAGCAATTTTGCTTGCTTAGATCCCAGAATAATAGCAATAAATTAATATTTTTATAAATGATAAGCTGAGTTTATATCTGTACTACTTATATGATAAGCTAAGCTGCAGGTCATTTTACTTTCAAACAATATTTATTACTTATTATAGCAAATATATAGATGGATTTTTTTTTGCTTCATTTGGGAGCTGGCATATTTTATCATGTCAGTTGTGTTCACAAGTCTGCTACTCATCTGAGCTGAGCTCTTGCTCAATAGATAAACGAAGACCTGAAGACTGCAAATGGCAAGAACGCACAGCAGTGCTGAGTGGGATTTAAAGGCAGGCCTCTGGCTTGAAAGTCTATGCAGCCTTCTCATTAGTCCTTTCTAGTGAGTTTTGTGAAGCTCGGTTCTGCAGAGCTGCCCAGGTCAGGTACCAGGAAACAGAAAAATCCACATAACCCGGGCATCATCTACTTTTGTCTGCCTGCATTGAACTCCCACAGAGAGCATCCTCTGATGGACAGGACCATGCTGCTAACAGGAAAATCTGAAGCCATCAGATTGAGTTGCACCCTATGAACTACTATTTGGCATTTTTGAAAATATGGCTCAATCTAATCCTACAGCAAGCCTGTGTTGGAACTGGAACAGGACTTCATAGTTATAATTAGTTAGAAGCACTGGTTGTATTTCACAGGTGACAACTTAGTTCAGAAGAGCAACACACAGCCTGTGCCAGGTGCTTGGCCTGTGCTTGCTGGACTCAGAATGCCAACACGGGACCAGACAGGGAAGTGGTCCAGTCAGAAGAAAGATTGGTTTTCTTTTCCCCCTGGGGACCTTATGCATGCTGAGAAGGCACTCCACCTCCGCCAAGTTACATGCCCAGTCCTGGAACAGGATCTTAAAGCAGTATGTGCAAAGCACTTGGCCCAGAACAGCCTCCACTCATCACTCTGAGTTACAGAGTGAGGGTCACGCTGGCACAGAAGGCTGCTGACGCTGGCCTTCAGAGGAGGAGCTGCTGTACAAGGGAAGAGACCTGGAAGTTTTCTGATGGAGAATGGGCCTGGGCCACGTTAGCTGATGACCTTGAGCTCTCATCTGCAGTTACATCCAGCCTACAATGGAAAGCATCTAATGATGGGGGTGGGGGTCTGCAATGCTGTGGATGAGAACAAGCTCTTGGGAATATAGCCACAGGGTTCCTGGCCCCAAACAGTTGCTGAACTGCTAGAGAACACATTTCTGAAAACATCTCAAGTCACTGAGATCAGTGGGAAATCAAATGAGAGAAAGTCAGTGCCAGGCCTCCCTCACAGGCAAGTCTAGATGGAGATGGTCAGGCGGGCCTCTGCCCCGACCTGTGACGAGAAGGCCAAGATGCAGATTACAGAGATGACACACAGCGCCTCACCAGTCCTGTGTCCTGAGCTCCTGCACTCCGAAAAAAAGTCACTTTCACTTCTGGTTTCCGGGACAGTTGTGGGAACTCCTGCCTTCCTGTATCTGGACCCCCCACCCCCCATTCCCCACAGCCTCCCACAGCCCTTCACAGCCCCTCCATGCCCTCTACCCCTGTTCTCCTTTCAGAAGATTCCTGGACAAATTCCTTGGCCATTGCACTCTCTGGGCACAATAATGGATATGGTTCTTTGATTTCTTTAAATGATCCCCAAGTTTGAAAGACAAACTCTTGTTATCCTTGTATTATTGGCACACTCTTGCTTCCTTACGCCCTGTTTGATATCAAGTAACTCCCCCCTTTCCCCACTCCCGATCCTTACCCCCTGTTTTCCATATGGGGCAGCAGCTGGCTCAGCAGCAGGGCTGGGGCCTTCACATTCACACTCAGGATCTGAAATCAGAGCAAATGAGGGGCAGGAGAGAAGAGATACAATCGGGAAACATGCACTGTAGAATGTGTACACATGCTGCTGCCAAGGGCAATTTATTGAGGCTTTTATGGGGGTAAGGGAGACATATTGAAGGTTCACAACTAAAGGGATTGAAGAGCCTGAAGCCTGGGATCCCTTTCCTTGTCTGCAAAGGTACCAACTCCATCTGGATCACAGCAGACATCAGGGGAACCTGGGAAAGGCTGAGTTCCTGCATTATAGCCTTCAAGGGCCAGTGCTGTGGAATAAGCATTCCTGGGCAAGGGAGGAAAGACACTCACTTCTCTAGATGATCAGAGCTATAATTTAGATGCTCTTTGTTCCATCTTACAGATGGGAAATTGAGGCTCAGGGAGTCTGGACCCCCGGCCTTGTCCTGTGTGAGGGAGCTTATGACAGTGTGGATGTGTGGAAGCTGAGGAAGTCCTCGGTGTGCAAGCTTACGTGGGGAGAAGGTTATCCCGTGTTGAGGATGGAGTCTAACAGCCTCTCATTAGCTGCCTGGGTTCTTACCTTGTCCCAGATCTGTTCACTGCTCTTTAAGGTACTTCCTACCAAGGGGTTAACCCCTGCGACACACACCAGGAAGTCCACACCCCCACAGTGTTCCAGGGCCTGCAGTGAGGAGGAGACATGGAGGGAAGGGAAGTTTTTGTTGCAGTGGGGCACCATTCCTGTTGCTCTGGGAATACACCTGGATCCAGTCCTGGAGAGGACCAACCTTAAGCAAGGTTGGAGAATAACTGGCTCTCTTTTCAGCGGCCTTTTCACTGAACTTCTGGACAAAGCTGGGGTTTCAGCTTTGATTGCTTTTTATGTCGTCCCACCCCAGGTACCCCGAGCTGCCATTTCCTCAACACATCTCTCATCTACATCTTTCCTGAAGTATACTGTCTCCTCCCCACTTTCCCGAACACTCTAGGTCTGGCTAAGAACCAGGACTGCTTTTTCTATAACATCTCTGTCACTGATTGGATTCCCCCCAAGGGCCTGGTGGACATTCAACACATGGCTGGATGCAGCTTTCTTCACTCCGAATTGCTCCACACTCCAACACCTCCCTCCTGGCCTGAAGGCATCCTTTCTCTGCCCAGTTCTGCTCAGGAGAGATTGTGGTCATGTCAAGGAGAACCAAGTGATATAGGCGACTCAGTTCATGCAATAGAGTCTTTAACCAGTTACTCTGGTGTGGATCACAGAAGCTAGAGCTCTACATGGCTCACCGTGGCCACCAGCTGCTCTCGATCTTCTGCTTTCCCTACGTGACACACAGTGCCTGTCACACTCAGTCCCTCCGCCTTTAGCATGGCCACTGCACAGTCCACATTCTGCTGCTTCCGGCTGCTAAGAACCACGTGGGCCCCATCCCGGGCCAGACGCTGAGCAATGGAGAAACCAATCCTATGGGCAAGGATAAAGAGGATGTGACAATTCAGACAGGGGTTGACCCCTTTCTTGCTAGCTATATTTTTTTGCCCTGAGGTATCAAATTAATTTTCTCTGCTAATCCAGAGCAGCTAGCCTCATGCCCTACTTCTGGGTGATTAAGATGGCCAGAATGGGAAAGAGAGGATGTATTAGTCCTGGCTGAATTGGATCGCTGTGTCCCTCATTAGATCTTGGCCTCATCTACTGGAACCACAGCTGACTGTGGGCATCCAGTCCCCCAAGGGCAGGTGCCACTGTGGAGCTCCTTGACCAGGTCTCTGAATGTTGCAGTTGCTCACAGGCACTCAGCTTGGAAGGAGCTAGTTTCCAACCTATGGAGCAGCACTTTTGGCTAACAGGAGTTTGGAGGAGTAGCTGAATTCCTTCTGCTTTACTCTGATGTGTTGCTCTGTGATACATTGTGTTTCCTACTGGATTTGGGGCCTGTCATAGAGTGGCCTGTATTGGGACATGCTGTTAACACATCTGGCACTGGCTTTGTCTCCTGTCCCTTGGAGTTTCTAAGTAGAATCCTATTCTCCAGACAGAAAGCCTCGTGGGCTTTGCTTTGTGGGGCCAAGGTTAAAACAAGAGATCAGCAAAATCCAGACCAACAGCTTCTGAGTTCCCAAAGGGTTGCTCTCACCCGTTTGTGGACCCTGTAACCACAGCAACTTTGTTGGCCAGTTTGGGCCTGTAGTTTGCTTCATTACTGGTGCTTCTCACAGAGAGTGAAGCCACAGGGCTTGGGAGCCTCTTCCAGCCCTGGATCAGAGTTCTAAACATTGGGTTTCTGTTGGCTCTTCTTTTGATGAGCTTAGTCCAGGGAGGGTGAGCTCTAGAAAAGAAGGGCAATCACAGTTACAATGCCAGATCATATGGGGGTGGTGGTAGTGAATTTTGATACTCTCTGTTGTGCTGAGACCTGGATGATCTGGATAGTTTAGGAATCTCTAGTGGAGGTTCAGCCTAGCAGAGGCATCCAACACATTGACAAAAAATTCACTGTTCTACACCCCCTCAGTGTTCTAGGGCCAATGGTAAGGAGGAAGCACAGAGGATCTGGGTCAGGGGGGCCAGGGAAGTGTTTGTTGCAGTGGGACACCATTCTTGTTTGGTATCTCTGGGGATATGCTTGGATCAAATCTAAGAGAAAAAGTTATAAATGTGCTGGGTTTCATTCATAGCTGTCATAGAGTGTAGGATGGACATGCCTGGGCCAACTCAAGAGCCTATGGTGCTATCCAATCCAGTGTTCATGAACATAAAAGTTCCTGTGTCCAGCCTTTTAAACTGGGATGTTTTTGGCTGTTTGCAATCAAAGTGTTCACATACACATACAGAGGTTCAACAAACACCAATTCATTGAGACTCCTTAGGCCGATGAGCAGCAGATAATTCACAGGTTTGCTGTGAGAGGACCGAAGACGTAAGATTGACGAACAGGCTTTGTAGTGGCTCTATGGTTGCTTAAGGGTCACTAGTTTTATGACTTTGATCTTATCTCAAGCCTTAGGATACACTATACATCTTGCTTCACTGATATGGCATTTTTTCAAGTCTTCTAGGATGTTCTCCATTTTTATCCTGGTGTCCGGTGTGTGTGTGTGTGTGTGTGTGTGTGTGTGTGTGTGTGTGTGCAGTGCACACACACACTCACATGAGGGGGTGTTTTCTGGTTCTCAGAGCTGTTATTGTATTGTGCTTTCTATTCTTGTAACATTCAGCTCTCTGACCCTGAGTGATGGTGCTGTATTGATCAGTTCTAGCAGGTGCCAGGTGCTGGCCATTGCTGGTTGGTATTTGCTGAACTGAATGAATAAATAAAAGAATGAAGATTCGCTTCACTGACAATGTTTTCTTAGAGCTTATAGTGGGTCCATGGGTCAAATTTCTTAGGGTTAAAAGGTTGGGCCCTTCTCCCCAAACTGTTAGCTGTGTCAGCTCAGCTCTAGTTTCAAAATATTTATTCCAAAGTAGCCATTCTGGACTTTTCAGTGCTCAGGTGTTGGGTGAAGCAGGCATTGTGTACAAAGTTACTTACATTTTCCTCATATTTGAGTACCTGACCTTCTGTTCGAACCTCACAAATCTATAGCTGTGAACATAGCTAAGAAAGCATGGCTCTTATTAAAGCATTTCGACTTTAGTAAATCTTGGGTAAATATCAAAGCAGACAAGTGCTGCTGAAGAAACTTTAAAGACAAATCCAGAATCCATTTTCTTAGGCTTTAACTCCTACACTTCTCATTCATTATGGGTCTTCCTGGCTAGCTGAGGATACAAAAGAGCCTGATTTCTTTCTTTTCTCATATCACATCTTATGAACGTCACTGAAGGTGATTTAGTCCCAAATCTATGGGGCTTCATCTGTCTAAGGTCATAATTATTCTGTCCTCCTCAGCTGCCCAGGAGAAGCAAGAACTAACTCTCTGTCTCTATCTCTCTCTCCCCCTGCCCTTTGTCACTTTCTGCTATTTTTGTCTGCTATTTTTCTCTAATCCCCTCCCACACACACTCTGAAAAAGATACAGAACCTAGACATGCACTATTTTTCCTTAAATTAATTTCAATGAACATGTGTGTGTGTGTGTGTGCGCGTGCGTGCGTGCGTGCGTGCATGTGTGTGTCCTTATCTGGGCTGGATAACAAAGATGACTCATGATACTCAGTCTGAGCTGGGCCTACAGAAAAATAATCACACAATTTAACAAATGTGGTATAGGCAGAACGTGGGGTTCACAGGCTGGGGGTTCACAGAGAGGTAAGATACTCAGTCTGGGGTGATAGTGGTTGTGGGTTTTAGAGCGAGGACTAATGCTAACAAAAAAAGATATATGCTTTTAGTAATTTTTTAAGTGGAAAATTTTATAAGAAAGTTTAGGGAAATATGCAAAATGTACCTGGCTTTGAAATGGGGAAAATGTACCTGGCTTTGAAATGGGTCAGGTGTCACCAGTGGGGTGGGGTGGGAGTGACAACGATGAAGCCGACGATAATAATGGCTATACTTTTGTCTAATGCAGTCTTCTGGGTGACAAGAATCTGTGGGGGGGTCTCTGTACCTTTTTGTTGTCTTGTTACAAGTTAGTGAGCTTCAGGTAATTGATAACAATGCCAACGATGCCAGTCCAGGGTGCCGATAAAGGTCACCTGAAGAATAGTCAACTTATTTGCCTCATCCAGAGGGACGGTCAGCCTTGTGTCTAATAAGCAAACCTATTTTAGTATTTGTGTTACATAAGTGAGGCTTTCTGAATTTGCTTTTGGATAAATTGTAATGTCTTCGCGGCTCCCCTCATTAATTAATACATTAATAAACATCGTGGCACTTATTCATTTTATATTTGTGTGAGAGTCATGATTTTTACCTTGAAAAAAATCATCCCTCATAGAAGACAGTGAAAATAAAACATGTAACTAAGTTAATTACCATCATTTTAAATGTTCTTACCATTTCCCTCATCAATGCTCCACAGACTTGCTCTGATATAATAATATTGATGTATTCAATGTCACATAAATACCATAGCACACATGAATTGATCTAATTTTTTTCTGAGTTGCTACTTAAAGGGTGACTAGAACAAGGAGTTTGGGAATATGGATTAGGTATCTGGCAAGGAAGACAGTGTGGTCAGGGGAAAGGAGGAGAGGAGATCACCACAGAACCTGGAACAGGAAGCAGGTGCTGGGGCGCAGTGGTTCTCAACCTTCCGAATGCTCAACCCTTTAATACAGTTCCTCAGGTTGTGGTGACCCCCAACCATAAAACTGTTTTGTTGTCCATTCATAAATGTAATTCTGCTATTGTTATGAATCATAATGTAAACATCTGATATGCAGGATATCTGAAAGGGGACCCTCAAAGGGATTGTGACCCACATAGGTTGAGAACCGCTGACGTAGAATGTCAACAGTCACAAAGAGTTTGACTTCATCCAGAGGCCTTGTGGGAGCCATTGAATGAAATATGATATGGTCATTTTTTTGTATTATAGGCACCACTTCAAAGGATTGTGTGTCTAGAGATGCTCAGTTTGGTCTGGTTTCTAGTAGTCATAAAATTGGTAGGGCGTGGCAGTTTCTCATTGTTTGAAGGAAGTGATGCAACAGGTACCAGGCCTAAAGTGATACAAGTTACCCAGCAGGTACCCAGACTCCTGTGTCATGTGCAGCTCATGAGTGGGGAACATGCATGCAATTCAGGGGATATGCTTGGCTTTTTTTTTTTTTTTTTTGGTCTTCCTATGCTTTATATTGGCCATGATCAGACTAGGCAAAGGGAAGTATTACAGCAAGTCTGCTTAGGACAATTATCACCTAAGCAGATTTTCTTATGCTGAATGTGAGGTACTTATCAAGTCATATCAGTGTAGGTGTAGGGCAGGTAACTGGGTACCCAAGCCTGCTATTGGTGTTGGCAAATATTTAGGAGTTATCACACAGACTGGCATAGTCTACCTGGCAGTGAATAAATTCAAAAGACAAGCATTAAAGCTGAGTCACATCAATATGTTCTCTGTCTGTCTGTCTGTCTGTCTGTCTGTCTGTCTGTCTGTCTGTCTTCGTTACTGTTCTATTGCTATGAAAAGACACCATGACTAAAGCAACATATAAAAGAAAGTATCTAATTGGGGATTGTTTATAGTTTTAGAGGGTGAGTCCATAACCATCATGGTGGGTAGCATGGCAGCAGGTAAGCAGACATGTCATTGGAACTGTATCTGAGAGCTGTATCTGATCCATAAGTAGAGAGTCTACTGGAAATAGCATAGGCTTTTGAAACCTCAAAGTCAGGCCCCCCAGTGATACAGGCCATGCCTCCTAATCCTTCCTAAACAGTCCATCAGCTGGGAAACAAACATTCAAATATATGAGCCTATGAAGACTGTACTTATCAAACTAACTCTCTCACCCTCTCCCCACTTCTCTCTCTCTCTCTCTCTCTCTCTCTCTCTCTCTCTCTGTGTGTGTGTGTGTGTGTATGTTGAAAAGCAGGAAGAAAACTAGATATTTTGCATCTTCAAAACCAAATGAATGAAAGGGATATGTCCAATTCACAAAATTTACTTGTATGAAATGTCTTTCTGTAATAGTGCCATGTATGATGCCTACAATAAAAATAAAAAGCACGTGGTACACATCAATATATACAATGAATTTGGTTTTTGAAAATATCTGTTAGCACTAAAAATATTATCATATATACATATGTATTTATGGCAAACCATTTGATGATCAAAACATGTATATGTTCTATAATGCTAAAATCAAGGTTATACATTTATCGCACATCTTAATAAATACAACTGAAAGAGAAGAAAAAAAAGCCAAATGGAGAGAATTTCCAAGGAGGAGAACTAACAGCTGTGCCACTGGCTGCTGAGAACTGCAGTTAACTGAGGGCTCAGAACTGATCATTGGCTTTTGCAATATGGCAGTTACCGGTGACCTTCACAAGAGGTTTCAGTGGGATTATGGGGGTGCAGAACCCAAGTAGAGTGGGGATAGGAATAACACGAGGAGGGTAGAAGTGGATATAGCCAACCCTTTTAAAGAGTGCATTTATTTATTGTTATTCTTTCCAAAGAAATTGGGAGGGAAATGGGGTGACTGCTAGATGGAAAGGGGACTAAAGGGGGGGAGAAAATGGCAGCACTGTGAGCTGCTCTGGAGGAACCCCATGATCCAGGACAGAGAGCAAGACAGCCAGTTCTAACAGACAGAGTGGACAAGTGAGGCATGCCCTGGTAAATGCTGTGGAAGACAAGGCCAGAATGCTA